AATTAGGTATCTTCACTTCTTTGTTAAGAATGTGATTCATCCCTACAATCTTAATACCAAAATTTGTATTAGGATTCTCCAGAGAAACAAAGCCAATAGGGTATGTGCGTGTCTGTATATGTATATGTGTGTGTGTGTGTGTGTGTGTGTGTGTGTGTGTGTGTGTGTGTGTATAGAGAGAGAGAGAGAGAGAGAGAGAGAGAGAGAGAGAGAGAGAGAGAGAATATATTTTAGGGGATTGGCTCATGTGATTGTGGAGGCATGTCAATTCCAAAACCTGACAGGGTATATAAGCAGGCTGGAGGCTTGGGAAAGAATTTCAGTTGGAGTCAAAATATCATCTGCTGGAGAATTTCCTTTTGCCTGGATGAGATCAGCCAGACTTTCGTTCTATGCAGGCCTCTGACTGATTGGACAGGACCATATATGTTATAGAGGGAAATCTGCTTGACTCGAAGTCCTTTGATTTAAATGAAATCTTAATTCACAAACATCCTCACAGAAATATCCAAAATAATGTTTGACTAAATATCTGAGCCCAGTGGCCCAGCCAAGTTGAGACATAAAGTTAACCACCACAGGAATGAACCAATGTAATTGCAGGATCATTGTCAAAAGAAGTCAGGGTTCATCAAGAATGTGATTCAATCCCTCCTTCTGATTGTTTGTTTCTGTTTCCTATCCCAGGCACATGTGTATATTCTTTTATTTTTAATATTTTTTTTCTTCATCATACATTTTTTTCTCCTCAGGACCATAATAATAATTTTTTTTTTTAATGATGCATTGTGGAGGGGAAGGGCATACCTCTAACCCTTGCTAGAGAGAGGCAAAGATACAAAATATAACCAAAATGTTTTACTCTCATATTTTCCTGAAATAAAAAAAAAATAATGCAATGTCTAAGTAAATGGACCACGTTTTTTACCACCTAGTGGGAGAGTAAATTTTGAAAAGAAGTATCCCATCCACCTACATACCTATCATGGTTAAAAATTCAGCCAGGTAAGTTCTGACTGGATCTCAGTTCCCTGTTGTTCCGCTACCCCATGACCTCATAGCCTCATCTTCCTTTTTCTCATTGTTTCTGAGTCCTCATAACTTTGGCTTTCCATGCAATCCCATGGCTGTGAAGCTCTCAACCTTGCTGTCTTGTGGGTTTCAATTTCTACTACTAGTTGCTACATTGTCTCTCTATATTTAGATCAAAATCACAAGGGAGAATTTAGCCAACCTCATCTTTGGGAACTTTATCGCATGCTGTGGATTGGGTGCTCTAGTGTCAACTGTGGTTAGAAGGTAGGAGTGGAGTCTCTTGGTTTTTCTGAAGAAGATATTTGGATTTATAACTCAATTTCCCATAACAAAAAATTTTAAGGTCATTATTTCCCCTTATGAAACGCAAGAAACCTTTTAGCGGCTGCTTTTGTAAACAAGAGGAAAAAGTTCTCATTACTTGCTTAAGAAATGTCCTTAACCCTAACCAAGAAAACTTCCTTAATAGTCCAGATGCCAGAAAACATAGAAGTCAAATCAAACATGTACATTTATTTAGATTAAAACTGTGACTCCTGGATTAACTTCAGAACATCCTATCATAAAAAGAGTCTGCTTTGGCATATGGTAACTAGAGCCATTGCTTTTAGCCCAGTCATTTCTTATTCCACCATGGTCCACAGAGGATGGTTCTTTTAGTGAGTTTAGACTTAGGAAAGTCCCTAAAGAGGCTGTCAACTATCAGGAACTGTGAATAACTTAACTAGTCCCATAGATAGATAGAGACATAGATAGCTATAGATATAGATACAGATATAATCTAGGACTATATATATAAAAACAACCAAATTATTTTTTCTAACTCTATCTCTCAATCATAGCACAAAAATTTCTGACATAGTATATGCAAGGTTATTTCCCCATATGTATGGGGAAATTTTTTCCTTGCACACCACAAATGTTTCTCTGGAGGATGGTTCTAGTCACCAGGCAGGTGTCTTCTAATTCAATTCAATTCTGGTACTATCTGCAGGTAGCATCACTTCCACATGTTGAGAGCTCAGTTTCACAAGACGGCCCCCAACTTCAGATGCTGGTCACAAGCATAGGTTATGATCTATGTTCATAACCAACCAGTTTCCCTTGACTCCTCTCCTTGGGTTTGATTAATTTGGTAGAGTGGCTTACAGTACTCAAAGAAACACTTACATGTACTGGTTTATTACAGAGGATGTTACAAAAGATAAAGATGAACAGCCAGATGTAATAGATTCTTAGGGTGAGGCATGGAAGAAGGGGCTCAGAGCTTCTATGCCCTCCCCAGGTAGGTGCAGTAGGTGCACATCTTCCAGGGACCTCCATGTGTTCTGCTGTCCAGAAACTCTCAGAACTCAGTCCCTTTGAGTTTTATGAAAGCTCCATTAAATAGGCATGATTGATTAAATAATTGCCCATTGGTTTATCAATTTACCTTTGAGTCCCTCTCCACTCCAAGGAGTTTGGAGGTGGGACTGAGAATTGCAACCTTCTAATCCTATGGTTGTTTCCCTGGCAAACAGCCCCCATCCTGAGGCTATCTAGAGGCCCCCAATCAGCAGTCATCTCATTAGCATACAAAATATACTCTCCCCACTCTAGAGATTCCAAGTATTTTAGAAGGTACATGTCAGGAAATGGGGAAGAAGATTAAATTCATATTTCATAATATCACAGTAGTAAAATAAATAAAATTATTTTCCGGGAACAATAAGAAGATAACTTGAATGAAGTTTACATGCAATTCTGGACAGTCCAGCATCGTCTGTGAGTAAGCCAGGTAACACTCTCTTTTAGGGTTAAATAATGCTCTACTTATATAGATTTTTGGAAATACATTATACCTTCCTTTTACTGAAATTCTACTTTTTACATATTTACTTTTATTCCAGATGATATTCATCACTATGTGCCAGATGGATAATAAACAGTGTTAAAATGTAAACTGAGACAAATAAAATTTTAAGGAATTTATTTGAGTAAGAAAGAATTCATGAATTGGGACAGCTCCAAACCAGAAGTGGTTCAGGAGCTCCATGAAGGGAACTCAAGGGAGAGTCTTTTATAGGATGGACACAGAAGTAAAGCAAATATTTGATTGGTTACAATTATACACTTGCCTTGTTTAGTCTGTCCTATTGGAAAGTCCCTAGTTACATAATTATAAGTTTATTGGCTACTTCTGATTGGCCGAGCTTAAGTTCTGTTTTTCTTTAGTATAGGCATTTACCAGAAACAGCTTAGGTTGTTTTGCTTATGTTGGCAAATCAAGCAATGTTTAGGTCACTTATGAGGCCTAACTGGTTTTGTCTGCTCAGGCATTCTTCTGGCCTAGTCTCCATTTTAATTTACTTTAACATCAGTGATATTAATATGTTATTATCATTTACACACTTTCCAATCCTCAGAACTACATTGAAATGTTCGACTTACTCCCATTTTATAAAGGAAGGAAATAAAATATCTGCTAATTAACTTTCCCACAACATGGAAACAATATTCAGGCCCAGATCTTACTTTGATCTTATGCTCTTTCACTAAATCATGTTGCTCTCTTTCTCCATGTATTTAGAATTATAAAAGAAGAAAAAAGATAAAACATTTTTGAACAAATGACACTTGTAACTTAGAGTATGTGTCAATAATAGGCTTGATTGATGATAAAGTTACTCTCTCACTTTTCAATTTCCCTTCCAAGTAGGTAGAATATATCTTTTTACTCTCCTTCCATTAACAGGTAGTTCAAGCTGAAAGGAGTATATTTAACAAGCATTAACTGAATAAAGCATCTGATTGGCTGTCTTCTATACACAAGGACCTTGGAGAAAGTTATTTAGTGGAAAATGCCCTAAATAAATTCAGGAACTTCAATATGAAGGAAAGAAATGAAATATGCTCTAAAGCCTTTTTTTAAGACTGACTAGGCTTTTCCATTTGTGTACTATATAAGATTTTACTAGAATGTTCAAAATTAAACCACATTAAAGCAATCAAAGCGCTCTTAGAATTGACTTCATAATAATGATTGGGACTTGACGATACAGCTGGTTTTGGTTAAGAACTGGCTCTTGAAAATTATTTGAAGTAAAATGAAGAGTAAAAAAAACTCTCTTTTTTAATTGTCCATATTTTAGAACATTAATATAGACTGTGATCAAGTGGGAAATATGACACACAAATAATTGCTGTAGTTTTTAAATTTGGTGTCCCTTTGAATACATAGATATTGAAAGGACTGACACTTTGGCAAAGCTATTTATATCAATCAAATATTGCCAGACTTTGCTCTCCATATGCCAGTACTTTTTTCCTCATTTTGCTCCAGGCTACTAAGGAAGCCAAATCATACAAAATGCCCTACTCTCCCATTTCCACTTCTACTTCTTCATTCATTCAGTAGGTTTTGTTTACCAAGTTCCAGTTGTAAGATGAAGAAATGTTTAGACACATTTTACCATGAATGGGCTCATTTTGCAGCCAGACACTAAGTTGAATTGGTCTATGTCTCTTTCTCCTGAACAATATGCCAATACCTACTATAAAATATGCTAGACTGAAGATGTTTACAGGTTATAATGAAGATACTTTGCAGCAAACCAAGAAAATTAGCTTCACCTTGAATACACAACTAATGCCAGATTACTTAATTCATTTTATTATAAGTAAGTTATGATTAGGAAGATAAAACACAGTAGAGACTCAATGTATTTATAATAATGATGATGATGCCTACTAATATTAAAAAAATGACAACACATAAGTTATAACTTGCAAATATTCGCAGATTTTCAGGAACAAGAAAATATGAAGAAACAAAATAGTATGCTTATTTTATCTCATCTTTTGGAGTGGCTTAAAAAAACCTGTAATTTACCAAAATCATTCCATCCTTTTTTCAGCAATTCGCATTGTTCCTTTTTTTTTTTTTTTACTGAAAGTCTTTTTGTTCCCCCTACAGCACTCTGCATTCTTCACTCAGAATCACATGTGCAGTTGATCTAAGATAACTTAGATCTTAGATCCCTGTCAAAATGGATTCATTTCTGTTCTCTTTCCCAGAGGACCCTGTAAGTATTCCTAATTTCTTGGTGGAACTGTTCTGTTCTTCATGTTCTCTTGCTCATTTTCACCCTGATCTCTGTCCAGCAATCCTTTTCTCTTCTCCCGTTCTTTCTACAACTTGAGTGCTGGTGACTTAAGGGCTTTCACTCTGTGGTGATGCCATGCCTTTGGTCTGAAGAGGTCAACTTGTTGGCTAGTTGGTCTAATTCATTGAGTGAAATTCTCAACAATAGTCTCTTTTTTTTCCCCCCTGGATATTGAGATTTCATAGAAAGCTTGCTAAAAACAGAGATTCAGTTGTTTTTGTAATCCATAATTTTCCATACAGTCTTCAAAAGCCCCCTAAGTGAACCAATAGAAATTTTTATATATTTACACTCTAAGAAATGAATCCTTATTCACAATAAGTTCAAAATTTGTGCTCTAACTGAAAGAAAATTGGCATAAATAATCAGCTTAGCTTCCTACTTATAATTGCTTACCTAACCTAAAAACTCATATTCTCTCAACATGCTCAAACATGGTAAAATATGTAAGAAGATGGGATTCCTATTACTTTTTTGGAATTACTGGTTAGACAGCATTTTGATCTTTCAGCACTTTATGCTACAATATTGGCTGAATTCTTATTTTTTCCCTTGGTACTCACTTGTTATTGCATTAATTCCTGAATAATGTATGGATATGATTTCTCTCTCTCTCTCTCTCTGCCTCTGTGTGTGTGTGTCTTTTTGTAAAGATTATGTGCAAAATTCTGTTGAGATTTATGTTGTATAAAGATACCCCACTTTGGGGAGAATTTCTTATGTCTGAAAAAAAAATCCCACAAAAAACGTACACTCTTGTCTAACAAGCTGTTAAATGCTTAATTTTCTACTTTTTGTATTACACTTTTTTAAATATTTAAAACTAACTACTACAAACAACATATACTCACCTAATTTATATTTTTTGATGTTTTCCTCATGCTTTAATGTTGTGTAAAACCAAGAATCGGTGTGAACAGTAGGTAGAAGAAGCAGATAAGGCATGATATAGGATCATATTAATAAAAGGATTTTTTTTACGTTTGGGGTTTTAAACAAAGAAAAAAACCACTCTAACATTAGGAGAATAGTTTACTATATAAAATATTAGGAACATCATTTACTAGCAATAAGGAATTAGAGGCTTCTTTTTACATTTAAGTTTTGAAACCAATGTAAAAGTATAATTTTACACCTAAAATAAAAAATCATAAATTCTCTACTATCACTAACTCCATAAAACAGGAATGTTAATTGCATTTTTGTACTTTCATTTCTACAGAACAGTAATTCTTTCTGCTCTGAAGATATGCCAAGACCACAAGAATTTGAATGCCATAGAACACCTGCAAACCAGGCAAGAAGGAAACAAAGAAGTCAGAAATTTTTTTATTTGCCTTTTTGCTATGAAGTATATATAAATCCTCAAAAGATATTTCCTTACATTACATTTTAAAATATAGACACATTAAAATCATTTAAGCTTTCAAATTTTAACTAGAAAAATATCAGGATTAAGTAATACTAAATGCCAACAAATATAGAATATTATATTTATTAAATATATTATATTCCTATATTCTAAATATATTCTAAATTTATTAAATATTAAATATATATTCTAAATATATTAAACATATTCAAATATTCTACTAACCATAGAATTATTATGTGTGTATTAGGATCTCTCTTTAAATTGTATTTTGAGATGAAAAGGTTTGTTTAACTCACCCATCATGGTAGAAAAGAGTTAAGAGATTTTTCTGGACAATTCTGGAAATGTTTAATTTGGTTTAAAGGCCACAGCTGTGAGGCTAATAGTAGCAGAAAGAATTGGAGCTCGATCTTATAGGGTGTGTGTGTTTGTGCACACGCACAAATAGAAAAGAGGAAAGGAGCAAGCGCAATTTTTTTTTTTATATATATAAGAACCATTTTCTTGGATACATTTTGTCACTTCTTTTATTCCTAAAGCTTTGGTGAAAGATAACTTTCCCCTTGGAAAGCAATAGTTGACCAAACTAGAATAATAGGAAGGCAAAGAATCTTGGCTATAAATCAGCAAGAACTAATAGTCAATTAAATCAAAGTGATCCATAGGACCTCAAAAGAGATAATAATGATAAAATAAATTTGTAAAATTCTAAACAGTTTGCAAGTAACTTAACACATGAAGGCCAGATTATTCCTCTGCAAAATGGAAATAATAAAATTAGAATCTGTATATGGGCAAAGTACCTGACCCAGTATCTAGTACACAGATGATGCTCAGTAACTGGTCTCTATCATGATAATAATAATTATTCTTACTAGTAATAGTAATAACAAAATACTATAAATATATTCATATCTCTATCTCATTTGTTCCTCTAGAGAGGTCTTTGAAATATATATTATTTTTTTCATTTTGCATGTGAAAAAATTAAGACAGTTAAAGTGAGTTGGACAAATAATATAAATTATAAATTATATTCATCTATTAATTATAGAGAACTAAAATCTAGTCTCTTGACTCTACATCCTAACTCTTTCCATCTCTCCCCCTCCCTGCTTGGTATCAGTGGGACTACTGATTATATGGCCATGAGCTCAACCTTGAGTCCCTTAGACCAGCATCATTGGAATGCAAGTCCAGAAGCATAATCTCAGGCCCTCCCAGACCTACTGAATCAGGGTGTGCATTTTAACAAGATCTGTTAAATGCTAGTTCTCAAATCTGGCTCTATTCAAGTGTATTAGTCAGGGATTACCAAAGAAACAAATAACACTATAGATGTAGATATGGACATATAGAATGAGACTTATCATAAGGGGTTAGCTCATACAGTTATGGAGGCTGAAAAGTCCCGTGATCTGCTGTCTACAAAGTGGAGACCCAGGAAAGCTGGTGGTGTAGTTCTAAGGCTTGAGAGCCAGAGAGCTCATGGCATAGATTCCATACTAAGTTTGAGGGCCTTGAACGAGGAACAATGAGAGCAGGATAAAAACAATGTCCTGGCTTGATCAGTCAGGCAGAAAGGGAATTCAAACTCCCTCTACCTTTTTGTTCTATTCAGTCCCTGAACAGATAGGTGATATCCAGTCACATTGGAAAGGGCCATCTACTTTACTGAGTCCAGCAATTTAAATGCTATTCATATTAGGTTCTTTGTAGAGACAGAAACAATAGGATGCATAGATATAGATAGATAGATAGATAGATAGATAGATAGATAGATAGATAGATAGGAGGGGGATTGACTCACATAATTATGGAGGCAGAGAAGTCTCACCACAGCCACTCTACAAGCTGGAGTCCCAGGGTGCTAGTGGTGTGGCTCAATTCAAGTCTGAAAGCTTCAGAACCAGGGAAACTGATGGTGTCATTCTCAGTCCAAGGCCAGAGGCTGAGAACCTTGGGGGGCCAGGGCACTGGTGTACGTCCTGAAGCCCAAAGTCTAGAGTTCGCATGTCCAAAGGTAGGAGAAGAAATGTGCCCCAGCTACCAGAGAGAGGGAGTGCAAATACACCTTTTCTCTGCCTTTTTGATTCATACAGGGCCCTGGCAGATTGGATGGCATCTGTCTACGTTGAAGGTAGATCTTCCCCACTCAGTCCACTGACTCACGTGCCGATCTCTTCCGGAAACACCCTCATAGGCATACCCCAAAAGAGTGCCTTACCAGCTATCTGGGTATTCCTTAATTCAGTCAAGTTGCCGGCTAAAATTAACCAGCACACTAATCTCATCTGGAAACACACTCACAGACACACCTAGAAATAATAACCAACCAGATATCTGAGCACTTTGTGGCCCAAGCAAGTTGATGGGTAAAATTAACCATCACATTTAGGAACTTTGAAAAAGAAATGTTGTGTCTGCTTTAGACTGAATAGATCAGAATTCATGGATGTGGGCCAAAGCATCAGTATTCTTTTAATTGATTTATTTATTTGAATTTTGTAGTGATTATATTTGCAGCCTGTGGTCTTTGCAAGTGGAGGCGGGATTAAAAAGAAAGCATAAAGATGAAAAATAGGCAGAGCATATTCAAGAGAGCTGTCCATGTATTCAACTTCAAATAGTACAGGAAAGAATATAACAGAAAATAGCAAAGAACAGTTGTAAGACTTTGCATGGCTGAGGCCTGCTTCTCTCTCCTTCTTCATTTCTCAGCATTCTCTTTAGGTACAATTTGCTCCTGGCATAAATGTTCCTCCAAGCCACCACCCTTCTGCACAGATTCTCAGTCAGCTTTGCCACTAAGGTGGCCATTTCTCTCTTCTCTGCATCCCCTACAAATCTCAGCCTGACCTAACCCACTGCTACTGTTCTAAGTCTCAACCTAAATGAAGCCATTCCTGACCCATTGCACCTGCTGAAATCAGGTTCCTCAGCTTCATAAAATGCTTTCCTTTTCTTCAGAATGTCGTGCAATATTTTAATTTTAAATTTATCTATATGGCCATTTACTTCTCATTAAGCCAGCATTCTTAGGAGGGCACAGGCAATGTATTCTGTGTTCAGATATAATTACAAGTAATAGTCTAACTATCTTACTGAAATATAAACATTATTGAGCTAAGATGTAGATTCCAAAACCATCACTGATGCATTGCTATAATATAAAAAATGGAAAACAGCCTATATTTTTATTGGTAGCAGAATAATTAAATCATGGTGTTAAAACTCAGTGGAATCCAAGGCAACCGCTGAAATAAATGAAGTACATACATATGAACTGACATGGTAAGATATCTATGATATATATAATTTTTACAAAAAGCAATTTTAAGAAAAATGTATAAAGTGTGATTCTACTTACGTTTAAAATGTGTATGTTTTACATAAATGCATGTATGCATGTATGTGTGTGTGTGTACATGCACAGGTACACACACATATGTCTTCTCTGAGGCCTGCTGATGAAATTTCTGTCCCTTGTATCTGCCAACACTGTGCCTTGAGGTTCTCATTGTCTAAAGCAGAATATGCTTTCCTTCCCTTTATTGGTTAACTTCTATTTATCCTTTGCATCTTAGCTCATTGCTAACGTGAATAATACATGTAATACCTTGCCTGATACCTCTAATTAGCTGTAAATCCTCTTATAATATGTCCGTCTATCATGAATACCTCTTCTTTGTCATACTTATCTCAACTGCAACTTTGTAATCCTGTGACTCCTTAGAGTATGTTTATTACTCTACCTAGGGAAATCTCTGGGAGGCTTCTGTGTATGGTCATTGTGTGCTGTTTTATCTTCAGAGCATAGGACATATCTAGCACATATGGAATCAAAACTCATTTGAGTGAAGACATGACAATGAATTCTCATTCTATATTTCACCTAGAGGGAAAACTAGTCTTGGAATGGATATGCCATTTGCTCAAGGTATTCATCTAATAATTAGGGAGCCAGAATGTAAACCAAACTCAACCTCATTCTAAAGTTTGTGAAGCTCTGACTCAGGTGGGGTAGGGGGAATATATGTAACCTAAATATATGCACCCCTGTAATATGCTGAAATAAAAGAAAAACAAATAAAGTATGTGATCTTAACCAATAATAAATGGCCAAGTTAAAGTTTTCAAATCAGAGTTCATTGAAGTATAAATGTCAAAACCAGGTAATAACAATGGACACTTAATCAGGTATTCTCTCTGTCTTTCTCATAGACACCTCAGTGAGAACTGCTACCATTATCACTGTTTTTGTGATCAACTACCCCTATGCTAATGCTTTGTTTTGGTGAGATGCTGCATTTTCACCTACCTAAGGAATTAAAGCATGTTCATTTCCACTGACAGGCAGTAATGACCTCAATTCTTTAAAAAATGGAGACCTCAGTCAAAACTGAAAAGTCACTGTGCTTGAAAAGGAAGCACAATTAGATTATAAACATACTAATAATTATTATGTCCTTTTTAGCATTAATCTTAAACCTGATCTATAAATATGTAATGTGTCTGGGTAGGTAATAATATGGAGAGTTAAAGGCAGACATTTTTTTTTTAAAGAAAGCATTCTACCATCTTTTAAGGCTGAACAAAAAACACATTTTATTATTTTTTTTTAAAGAGAAGGTTATAGCAATGTCATTAAGATTTTCACAGACACGCTCACACCCTGCCAGAAAAAGAAATATCAGCTTAGAAAAAAGCCCATTACATTTGAATGTAGAATGATTTGAGAAAAAGTTAAAAAAATGTCATTTCTAAAATGATTTTCTATTCACGCATATGAAATTATATTTATATTAGATAAATTATACGTACTTCATATGCATTATAAGAACATTATATGAATTATATGACTACATGAAATTGCTTGTAAGGCCTATAGTGTTTTATTTTGAATATTTTTAGTAGTAGTAAAATTTGTTCCAAAAAAATCATTCCACCCCCAGAGGTTAGTTTATCAGTCTGTCTGTCTGTACATGCACACACACATACACACACATCTCCTTTCACTCTCTCTTTCCCTATTTACACAGGGAGAGAAATGACAGATCCATATATATGCATACACATGCATATATATATATATATAAGTGTGTGTAGTGGTTAATGTGTATATGTAAGGATTTCTTTAAAAGGTCATTAGTATCCACTGGAGAATTGGATTTTGAAACAGAGGCTTCATTCCTCCTCTTGGTTATGGCTCAAAGCTGAAAGGCCATCCTAAATAAATTGTTCTATTTTCAGCTTTCCTGTTTTTCGTGCTTTCTTCATCTGATTATTGAGGACATGAGACTAAGTGACTCTTCTGATATTCTCTAGTTTTTTTTTGTTTTTTTTTTAAGACAAGAGTCTTGCTCTGTCACCCTGGCTAGAGTGCAGTAGCATCATCATAACTCACAACAGCCTCAAACTCCTAGGCTCCAGCAATCCTCCTGCCTCAGCCTTCAGGGTAGCTGGGACTACAGTGGTTAAGTTTTCTATTTTTTTTTTTTTTTGGTACAGATGGGATCTTGCTCTTGCTCAGGCTGGTCTGAAATTCCTGACCTCAAGCAATCCTCCATCCTCCACCTCCCAGAATGCTAGGATTCCAGGCATGAGCCACTGAGCCTGGCCTATTTTCTTTCTATTTTTTGCTTTCTTTCACCATAGAGCACAGTTAAAGAATTTTTTTTTTTCTGAGCTTGGAATTGCTCTAATCTTATGAGAAGGCAGTTTTGCTTGTAATTAGCTAAGAGTGTTATTCTACGTCTGAGAAACGAAAGACCAGAGGGATACCCAGCTGTCTTTTGCACATCAAATGTCTCTTTATAGCATGGCATTTTGATAAGTTAAAGTATAAATGAATCCAAGGTAGACTTTACACACCTGAAAATTCACATGGGGATGAAAAAGATGTGTTTTAGTTTGCTATTCTTAAAACATTTGAGAAAATAATATGACATCTGTCAAATATCAAATGGAGCTGCATGTTTTCAGGGGTGTGCATGTGGGTGCAGACAGGCCTACATTTACATGCATATATATTACAATGAACTCTCAAAATAAATTTTTTTTACCAAAAATATTAGAAATTCTCTGTCCAGGGTATATTTGGTCCTTCAAAGCAGTCACCATGGGAAGCTCTAAACTTATTCCAATTAGGTTGTCATCGCCCACAAAACAGCTTAGGAATTTCTTTTTAGGATTGCTTACAGTGTTTTCTTTTGAATATGCTCAGTGGTGGTAAAACTTTGTTACAGAAAATCAATTCCATCCCTAAAGGTTAGTCCAAATATGATTTGAATTGGTGTGAAATTCAGCATAATGCCTTTCTGCTTAGTCCTTGCTGAAAAACTCATTCCTGGCAGCAGAAGTACCTCATTATAGAGCTTTTTCACCTATAAGGTGGCCCCACGGCATGGATCACAGATGCCATGTTCCGATCAGCCTCATTTGGCACAGTTAGAAAAAGTTAAATATGTTTTATTATTTAAATCTAAAATGGGAATAGTAGAATGTGAGAAGTGGGTTGTTTTTTAGGTTTGGAAAGCAAACTCATCAATTGTCCATTAGATAAACGACACAGTTAGGTTGGGCCTGTCGTTAAAAAGATCAATTAACATTACCAGGTTCTCCTTATAGGAATACGACCTGATGTTCCTTTTCCTTGACCATAGTCAAAATTCAGTTTTCTCTTTTGTTCTCTAATCAAAGCATCCTCATTTTAAGGAAAATACGAGTTGATAACTTTGAATAAATACTGTGACATTGAAAAAATATTCCCTTTACTACTTTTACATATAAAATACTTCTTTTTTTTTTTAGACAGTGTCTCGCTTTGTTGCCCAGGCTACAGTGAGTGCCATGGCATCAGCCTAGCTAGCAGCAACCTCAAACTCCTGGGCTCAAGCAATCCTGCTGCCTCAACCTCCCAAGTAGCTGGGACTACAGGCATGCACCACCATGCCCAGCTAATTTATATATATATATATATTAGTTGGCCAATTAATTTCTTTCTATTTATAGTAGAGACCAGGCCTCGCTCTTGCTCAGGCTAGTTTCGAACTCCTGACCTTGAGCAATCCGCCCGCCTTGGCCTCCCAGAGTGCCAGGATTACAGGCATGAGCCACTGCGCCCGGCCTGTAAAATACTTCTTGTTCAGGTTGCTTAGAAATGGAATCCATCATTTTCTGTTCCAATTCAGATTTCCATGTGATTCTCTGTTTCTACTAAAGGCACCAGTATTATTTCAATCATCCAGGGAAGAAAAATCAATCATCTGTGATTCTGTCCCTCTTATCTTATGTCTAGTCAGTCCCCAAATGTGCTAGACTGGACCTTGACAGCAGTAGTGAATCTGTCCTCACCTCACTGTTGTCATTGTCTGGTGTGGACAGGTGGACCTTTGGCCCAATTATTATAGGTGTAAATTGCTACCTAACATGGCTCTCCAATTTGAAGGAATTTGTATTCTCTACCCTAAAACAATGTTTGGGCAGCTTTCTTTATTTTAAAATAAAAAATTGATGATTATGTAACTTATCATTAAAAAAACAAAAAAACAAAAAACTTTAAGATCCTCCATATTTCCTTAAGTGTAAGCTCATTTTGAGATTCATTTTTTTTTTTTTTTTTGAGACAGAGTCTCACTCTCTTACCCCCAGGCTA